CTGGTAGGTAATAATGACTAAAATCCAAAGTTTATCCCAGAATATTTGCTGAACTACAATACTTGAGCCACAGAGTAACTGAAACACAGGGTTGTGTTATCAGAAACTACCCATTATAATTCCTTAGAAAACAAAACCCTATAAAAAAAAAGAATCAGGAAAGAATTCCCCCCGAGACTCTGGCTTCTGCCTGTAATAAAGTTTTATCCTTTCTCATTCCCATCACGATCAATAAGTGTTAGCTATATTTGTAGTCTTGCAAAGTGGGGGAGGGGCTTTGAGAAATCTACACTTCGAAGGGAAATTAAAATGCACATTTTGGATCTGCTCCCTCCATTCCTGTGTTGATAGAGTAAATTTACAAAATCATAACTGCACTCAGTTTAATGAGCTACAATACTCTGCACAATTGGAAACTGTACTATCAATTATGTGAAATGTTGTCACCACATTCAGCTGAACAGTTTTCCTGCAGGCCATCTCTGTCATCTCAGGGAAGTTAGGGATAGAGGAACCAGTGTTCCCAATCATTTTTGTATAGTAATGGTCCACTGGATCCTTATGTTTCTGCCAACATGGAACAGAACTTCCCAAGGTTTGGCTTACAAATTTGCAACAACAGTGGACAATAGAGCTTGAAACACAAAAAATATAATCCAGTATATATCTTCATAGTTTCTTTTTGCCCAAAGTAAATATCTTGTGCTCTCTCTCTCTCTCTCTCTCTCTCTCTCTCTCTCTCTCTCTCTCTCTCTCTCTCTCTCTCTCTCTCTCTCTCAGAGTTTACGGAATCTGTAGAAGTTCTAGAGCTGTACAATCCCATAAAGCCAGTGGCACATATAATATATCCAACTGAGTTGGGCTTTGTTACTATCTGAATGGGAGACCTCTAGGGAACATCAGGATTTTAATCTAGATTGAATAGTGAAAATTATATGAATGTAGCCACGAGGCCACTAAAAATTGAAATCAGCCCAATGCAATTTTTTTTTAAAAAGTAATCTAATGAAAAAAATGCAACCATGAGTCTAATTTGATTAGAAGGACAGTTATCTCATTACTCTGGAGAAAAAGAGCAAATCTTGATTATTTCCAAACCGTATGCTTGGCTTTACATGTTTAGATAACTAATAACTTTCAGCTCAAAGAGTTAACAAAAAATATTAGTCCCCAGCCATTTCCCAAGCAGTATGGAATATGGATCTTTTGATTATTTAGCTGATCAAATACAAATATAAGCAAGGGCTGTTCTTTGATTCAGCTTATTCCGCCTGCTATCATAACAACAACAAAAACAGTGACCAGATTCAGACCAGACCTAGAAGCAGCAGCAGGAAGGCAATACAGCAATGCAGCCAGCAGTTGAGTGGCAGGGACTGTAATCATAAATGCATTAAGTGAGAAGGGAGGTAGCGTTTCTAATACTTCTAGAACTATTTTAGTTCTGTTTGCAATGTTAAACTGAAAAACAAACAATTTGTTTTCTGCCTTCCAGGTGCATTCAAAAGCAGGCATAAAGGAAACCACAGTACATATTATATGTAGTTCTTTAAAATAATTCTTCGCTGGAAAGTACCTTTTTGTTGTTTTATACAGGCACTGTTTTCAGCACCATGCTAAAATGAACAGCGCCTGCCTCTCCTATTTCTGTTCCTGTCTTTCTCTTTTGCTCACAAGCCACAGCCAAAATGACACACACACACACACACCCATATACAGGAGACCAAGCTCACCAGGCCTGAAGGATTTTTGGGATTTGCAGAAACATACATGTTTAGGGTGGGAAAATCCTTAAAGGAAGAGAATCCCAAAACCAGCTCAGAGAAGGCTGAATGGTCATCCAATACTACTGAAGTGGAAATGGAGAAACAAATTTGGGGAGGAGATGAAATAGAACATCTTGGAGGAGGTCATAGCTAACAAACTGAAAATCAACAGGACACTCCACACTGTGATATTTTATGGCACACCTCATCAGCATTTAAGGAATTGTTCAACTGACTTTCCAGTTGAGAAACTGTAAAAGGCAATGCCTTACCCAAAGACAAAACTCAAAGATACTTACTTAAAAATGCCATCTTATTCTACAAATATGTGCGTAGTATAATTAAAAAAAACCCTGTGGTTGTAGCATCAAGTAACATTTCATATTTTTAAAAATGCAAATAACCTGTGAAACAGCAAGATTACTCATATGGATTATGAGTAAAAACAACCTCTACCATCATCCAACTCAGAATGTGTATTTCTTTTCTAGATCCAAAGGATATATAGTACGCCCCTTCTATTTATAGTTAGTCTTAATAAAATCACTATCCTCATCCAGGCTAGGCACCCTTGCCTTATATTTTATGACCATTACAAGCATATTTCTTAGGCTGTTTGCACATTAACATAAACATTGCTTAGCAACCAATTGATACTTTAAACTCCAGGCATCAAATGATTCTATGATTCTGTGAAATGCAAGATGGGTTAATGAAAAGAACCTCTAGTGGTTTTTTTTGATAATTTATATCTCTGTGAATACAGATTCTTCCAAATTAGACCAATGACAGAACCTAATATTTAGAAACTCATGCCTTCCATATGCAGATTAATGACTGAAATGTTGGCAGTATAGATTGCTTTTTGGTTAGAATTAAAAGCTGGGATCCACTTGCAAGAATCCGTTGAGCTTGATGTACAATGGTTGACTTTGTTTTTTGTTTGTTATAAAGTAAGATAATGGCAGAAGATGGTTTTTCTTCAACTAATACTTTTATGACAAAATTGTTTAACATGCACTCAGCAATTTTGGAATCATGCAACATCTCCTTTTCAGCTACATATCTTATGTCTATCCCATCATGCTATACAATATTCTTCATCCTCTGACTTTTTTTAGTCATCAGTATATGTCCTCAATAATCCAAAACATCTTTCCGTTCCTGGGCTATTAAAGTAAACCAGTGACAATAAGTGAGCCAATAGGACAAGACCAAGTTTGCCCGGAATATGAACTGATCAATGAATATGCAGTTGTTCCTATTTCACATCTTACTTGATACAAAGTGGAAGCAAGGTCATAGTGATGCAGAAGCACACATCAAGTTTCAAGAGAAACCACTATAAAACCATTGGCTTTGCTCCAAGCAATGTTTTAAGGAATTGAGACATATCATTCCAGCAGACAGATATGCTGAGATATCAGTATCCATACATTTAATTAAGGGGAAATCATTGGGTTTTGCTAAAACAATTGCTATGGGAAGTTGGATTTCTCTGGCTTCTTTCTCAAGAAAGATCTGTTCCTAACATTTTCAAAAAGCAAACTGGAACACAGCATGGAAACACGGCTTTCCCCTTTTCTAGTCATCCTTCAGAACTGGGGAAAGAACATGTGACAGGAGAAGGTAATTAGAATTAAAAAAACTGCAGTATTAAAGGACAAATGGAGGGAAAACAGGAAGGCAGAGCTTGGGATGCAAGTATTAAGGGGAAATCTTTCCCTTGAAGGAATTACTAGACCAGGGGTAGGCAACGTTGGCTCTTTTATGACTTGTGGACTTCAACTCCCAGAATTCCTGGGCCAGCCACGCTGAGGGGAAAGGGAGAGGTTTCCAAGCTGAGCCAGGCATTCTGGGAGTTGAAGTCCACGAGTCATAAAAGAGCCAAGGTTGCCTACCCTTGTACTAGACTAATCCAGGGCTAAATTGTGGGCCAGATAATCAGGTCTGGACTAAACTGTATCAGAAAGGTCCAAAGACAGGGTCACATTTCAGGCAAAAATCTTGGATACATTTCTGGTATGGAGAAAAAAGTTGAGGCGCACTAAACACAAAGAAAAATATAAAGGCAACAAATGGAAATTGGTAATGAAATCAGTGAGCTAAATTAATGCGGGCCAGAGGAATATGGTAAGAAATGGCTGGAGAATGGGTTTGGGGTGGAGGAGAGCATGACCACTGGCTATTGGTTATGCTCATGTATCTTTAATATGAACTTAAAAGGACAGAGGTAAAACTTCAGGTTTCATATCTTCTTAGCATCAGTGGTATGATTTTAGTATATTCTAATCATGAGCAATCATACAAACCACGGCATAAATAATTAGTGACCATCTGAAATACCGTACTGTGGTAGGAAGAGGACCAGCTTAAGAAAACCAAATGAGAAACTAAGGGGTTCTTCATCAGGAAGGCAACTGGGAGAAAGTGGAAGGCAGGAACAGAAGGAAAAAATAGCCCTTCCCAACTAAAAAATAGCCCTTCCCAACTAAACAATCTTCAGACCTGAGGGATCACGCCCAACCACTTCCTCCTAGATGAGAGTGACAGGAGTCACAAACCAGTCTTCTGGGTTCTATGGGAAGCTTGAGTTGGAAAATGCAAGCAAGACCTCAAGGAAACCTGGAAGCTAACAGGTTGGGAGCAGGAAGGGGAATGCAGACCTTGGAAAACCTGAAGAGGGGAAGGAAAAAAAAAAAAAGGCCCCAAGGGAGAAGGTGAAATTTGAGGGTATGGGAAAGTGTGCCAGCTGAAGGAAGGAGAGGAGGGGGTGAAGAGCATCCAGAAAGGGCAACCAGGGGAATAGGAGAGACAGCCGAAAGCCTGATGCTGCCAGGTATAGCTGCACGAGCACCAGTGCGGGTTTCTTCACCCTATGAAGTTTGAGATCACTTCCACCGGCCTCCAGATTCTGGCAGGAAATGTACTGTAAGACTTTCACCCAAGCACTTCGCATGCTCCTCTCCATTGGGTGTGTGTCCGCGCGCTCGCGCGCGTGTGCTTTGTACTACACCAGCATCTAGATGAGGAGGAGGAGGAGAGAGAAAAGCCAACCGCGTGTGTGTGTGTTCGTCTGTATGTGGACAGCCAGGACGTGTCCAGGGATGCACATTCCTGCAGCAAGAGCACGCCCCCCCCCCTAAGCCGGCAGACACAAAGAGGGCGGGGGAGTGCAGAAACAGCCGCCGCTTTAGGCTTGAAGAGGGCGGGCGAAGGGTAGGTGACACTCACCTGCTTCGAGATTGAAGGAGATCCTGGCCTCGGCTAGGTAAGGCGTGTCACTCTTGGACCGAACTCTCCGGATGGGTCTCCTGTCTATGTCCTCTTCGGAAGAAGCCGCCATTAATGTGGGTACAGTGAGCAGGGTCGCCCGGCGAGCTGGTGTAGAGGAAGCAGCGAGAGGGGTGGGGGTGGAAAAGAGGAGGAGGGCGCACACGCAAAGAAGGAGAAGGGGAAAGAGAGGAGCAGGGACACAGAGAGGGAGAGACACCGGGAGGGAGGGAAAGAAGAAAAAAAAAAAGAGAGAGAGAGAGAGAGAGATGGGGAGAGAAAAGGAAAACCCGTTAAGGATTTCTGGATTGGAGCTGAGCTGGAAACCTTGCCCTGTCACCTTCTGGCAGCCTTGAGCCAAGCGGGTGAGGCTCCACGTGGGACCTTACACAATCTAACAAAGCCTGGTCCTTTGCCTGGAAGCTGCAGATAAAACGGTCATTTGAGAATGGCTCATTCAAGTCCAGAGATTTGCCTATCAAGATTGAGGAGCTTGGTTGCTTCATGGTATTTGGGTAGGAGAGAGAAGCAGCAAGCAAAAGAAGAAAAAAAAAACACCAGCTGAGGAAACACGTGCGACCATTTGACATGGCAATGCATCAGGTGGACACACCTCTTTCTGTGGAGATAGATATTATATATAGATGAAACACACACATGCACAGTACATACGCTGCCCACTCCATTGTAGGGATCACAGATTGGACTAAGGTGGAATGCAAGTTCTTGGTTCTGTGTAAGTGTGAAGCCAGTTATTGTAACTGGCAAATTATGTATTAAGGTTTAGTGTTTGGCCACTATGGTGTTTTCAAAAAGTGATGCCTTGGGGTGATGCATGATCTGAGCAGCCTCTCTTTTTTAAAAAAAAAATGAATGCAAGAATGAAAACAAATGAGGTGCTGGAATTCCAATTCTTGGCGTTTCCATCAGCAATGTCAACAAAGTTTTTGGAGTTGAGGTTCCAAACACACCTTGAGGTTTACAGTTGGGAACGTCTCCTTGGCAGCAATGTCATAAAAACTTCCACTTGTGTGAATTTCAGCTCCCAGGATTCACAGTAATGACCATTCTGGTTGAAAAGTTCTGGGAGTTGAAGTTCATAGGAGATTATAAAAAAAAAGTTCTCTATTTTTGCCAAATGATGAATAATTGTAAATATGATTAGTTGATACAGCAGACACAGCAAAGTAAACCCTTTATAGTAAAAAATTTAAGTGCTCCTAGAATTTAGACAAACAACAATGGTAAATAAAAAATAATAATAGTTGAGTAGATTAATAGTTTGTCTATACCAGGGGTAGGCAACCTTGGCTCTTTGACTCGTGGACTTCAACTCCGTCCACGAGTCATAAAAGAGCCAAGGTTGCCTACCCCTGGTCTACATAAACTATATTTAAGGAATCACTTTGTAGCACTCAGTATTTTCAGGAATGGACACCATACAAATTAAATAAATACTTTTTATAGGACTTTACTGGAAGGCAGGAAACAACCCTAAGTGCCTTGCGTGAGAAACTATTCTAAGAACCTGTTTCAGTAACTCTATTAATACTGGATAGATCTTTCTAGTGGAATTTCAGAATCATAAACTGTACAGGTTAGAAAGGGCCTTGGAAACAATGGACTCTCACCCCCAGGAATCCACTCTTAAGCACCCCAACATCTACTCAAACATCTTCAGCAATGGGGAATCCATTGCCTCCTGAAGGAGTTTGTTCCGTTTCTGAACATCTCTTACCAGGAGGCAATGTCTCCTGCTATAAAGAAACTGGGAGATGATCTTGAAGGAAGTAGGCAAGAACTACAATATTACCTAAGCAAAGAGGGTCGGAAAGGTCCCTTCAGTCCTGGGGGAAAAAATGATAGTATTCAGAAGAGAGGCAGGGTCTCTTCAAGTTCCCCTGATCCTCTGAGATATAACAGAGAAGGGATGTAAAATGCAATCAGGCTTGCAAGGTTCTGTATTAATTGTATTCTCAGTAAAGTAAAGCTCTCAACTTCCTTTGAAGTTGGTTTCCTGATTGGTTCTACTTTATAGAGCTGATACCTGGTGACCAATAAAAAAAATCTACTTTCTCTGTTTAAAGATTCCCGCTGCTGCTGCTGCTGCTGCTGCTGCTGCTGCTGCTTCTTCTTCTTCTTCTTCTTCTTCTTCTTCTTCTTCTTCTTCTTCTTCTTCTTCTTCTTCTTCTTCTTCTTCTTCTTCTTCTTCTTCTTCTTCTTCTTCTTCTTCTTCTTCTTCTTCTTCTTCTTCTTCTTCTTCTTCTTCTTCTTCTTCTTCTTCTTCTTC